ATTTCTACACTACGCACCCTGCTAACATATGTGAAATATCAGTACCCCCTGTCGCAATGTCTGACCATTATCCAATATGTGCTACCCGAAGATCTAACAGCATGCAACGCAAAGGCAGACACACTGAAATACAATACCGTGACTTTAAAACCTTTAATGAACATGATTTTTTGCATGATTTAAATAATGCAAATTTTGATGAATTAATTCTCCTGCATGATCCTGATGAAATTTTAACATATTTTTATGCAATTTTCAATTCTGTACTTAATAATCATGCGAAAGTTAAAACAAAGCGTGTGAAATCAGAAATTCGCACTAAATGGTTAACTCCAGAAATAAATGAGGCTAGGATTAAAAGAGATCAATTCCATAAACAGGGAGACATGGGCAATTTTAGATTTTGGAGAAACAAGGTCACCTCTCTAATTAATGATGCAAAATCTACATATTATAAGACAGTAATTGAAAATAGTTCTACATCAAAAGAAATGTGGGGTCATTTAAATCAGCTTTCCTCAAAATCAGATAAATATTCATCCCCTTCCAATATAACTTATAATGGATTAGAATTTGATAATTTAAAAGACATTTCAAATGCTTTTAATGAGCATTTTGCACATATTCCAAGAAAATTGTTAAATAATCTTTCATTGACTAGTTTTAATTCAGAAAAATTGAAAAGATACACGGAAACAAAACTTGGAGATCAAGACTTTTTTGAAATTCCATTGATTAATGAAACAAAAGTATTTGATATGTTAAATAGGCTTGACATAAACAAATCTGCTGGCATAGACTTTATTGGACCCAGATTACTTAAAATTTCAGCTAGTGTAATATCCAAACCTCTAACACACTTAATAAATTCCAGCATAATCAAGGGATCCTTTCCTTCACAGTTAAAAATAGCAAAAGTAACTCCTCTACTTAAAAAGGGTGATAAATCAGACCCAGGAAATTATAGACCAATATCAATCTTACCAACTATTTCGAAAGTCTTAGAGAAGCATGTAGCAGAAAATATACGAATCTTTACTTCTCACTATGATTTATTAATGAAAGCACAATCTGGATTTAGAGAATTTCACTCTTGCCAGACAGCTCTCACAAAACTAACTGATAATTTGCTGCATGCAATAGATCAAGGAAATTTCGTTGGCATTACTTATTTGGATTTTAGCAAAGCTTTTGAAGTCGTAAATCATGATATACTTATTACTAAACTTAAATGCTACAACTTTGATCCTATATCGATTCAATGGTTTGAATCATATTTAAATGATCGAACGCAGAGTGTTAAAATTGGTGCGTACACATCTGAATCACTGCCTGTCACAGCAGGTGTGCCACAGGGATCTATTTTAGGTCCTTTGTTATTCCTGTTATATATTAATGATTTACCATTATCTGTTGAACATTGTAATATTGATATGTTTGCTGATGACACTACAATGCATTTTCATGGTAACAATATTTCATATATTGAAGCAGCTCTGAATCAAGACCTTTTTCAAATACAAAACTGGTGTCAACAAAATCAGATGATTTTGAATACGGACAAAACTAAGAGTATGTTAATGGGAACACATCAAAAGAAATCAAAATTAGAAAACGCTAATCTTCATTTACAACTTCCTGGCCAACCCCTTGAAAATGTTACAACAGAGAAATTATTAGGTGTTCACATTGATCATAATCTTCAATTTACTAGTCATGTAGATGCAGTTTGCAAAACTCTTGCATATAAATTATTTACTCTACGAAAAATTAAGAAGTTCCTTCCATTGCATACTAGAAAGCTATTTTATAACGCATTTATTTTACCATCAATTTTATATTGTCTATCTATTTGGGTAACTCTCCTCAAACTCACATCGATAGAATATACAAACTTCAAAAACGAGCAGCTAGGATTATTTTAAATGAAAAATACGATGCACCTTCAATGCCCTTGTTTAACATATTAGGCTGGTTAACAGTTCATGAACTTCTATATTTACAGAAAAGCATTCTGATGTTCAAAACATTCCATGGTATGTCTCCTGATTATATGCATGATTTTTTTGAATTTCAAAGTTGTGGATCATACACGCTACGCTCACAGACAAATTCAGAACTTCGTTTACCAAAATTTAAAACTAATTTATTTAAAAATTCTTTGCAATATTCAGGGGTTATTATATGGAATGAGTTGCCTATTAGTATAAGGAATTCCCAATCCCTTTCAATATTTAAAAGTAGGGTAGAACATTTTTTACTTATGAAACGTTCTTCATGAAAAAAAAAAGTTTTCATTCCTCTGAACTTATAATGAAACGAAAGTGTTTAATTTATTCTAGTGTAACATAATGTGTGTTTATATCTTATTGTTCCATGTTTGTGATTATTGTCTTTATTATTGTATAAAACATTGTATATGTGTTTTTAAGAAGGCCCCGAGGAAGACTAGTGCTCGCACTAATCGGATTACCTTCTATAAATAAAGTATTATTATTATTATTATTATTATTATTATTATTAAGATATCAGGTTAATAAGACAAAAAAAAACTTATTAGAATTGCATCTATGAATTATTCGAATAAATATTTAGGAACCAAATTCCTATTGTAATTTTTCGAATTTGTTCTTCAAGAATAATTCGCAAAAATGGACAAAATAAATTAAAAACACAGTTGCATTTGCAAATAAATTAAGAACAGAATTCATTGAATGATTGTATCATGTTTAGCGTTCCTTTCGAGAATTTTCTACTTATATTGAGACGGCATCACTTGCCGATTGAGAGCTACAAATTTTAAACTACAATCGGCACTCGTCAATCACCGTCTCACAACTTCTTTCCTTATGCTTTCCTTTTCAGCCCCCGAAATATGTCGCTATCATGGAAAATAATAATTATCTACGTACTCCGTAATTAATAGTTAATTTGTTGAGATTTTGAATCAACTGTTCTTTCATACAGTTACACTCCTAGCTTAATTTGTCTGAGGCGGCATCTCGTTAAATTATCAAAGGATGTAATCATAACTCAGGCCTTCAAAAGTTGTATACCCCCAAGCAATCAAAGCTATCAATTATATAAACTGTGAAAACTAATTAAAGCAATTTGATCCACTACAACCATGTATTAGATCAAGTCTAACGGTACTTAAAATTAGGAAATATGTAAGTATAAACATTTATAAATTATAAAACAATCATTTTATATGCATTAACTATGTAGATTTTTTATGAGAGTAACCGAATAGCAGTTTTACTAACCGATACTCGCATCGTTCGACGGTTAACCAGTTAACCAGGTACTCGTTGCCAACACTAGTTATTTCAATAATTAAGTGTAGTACTTGTCACTCAATTATTTCAATTATCACTCTTTACTCTAATTCAAATCAGCAGAATATAACCTGTCTTTGTTAAAAAGCTGTTTTAATAGCAAACACTATATGTTTCATCAATAAAAAAACACGTTTGTCATGGTTTTGATTATCTGTGTGTAACTAATGTTACCAAGTGTATTTGTTACCTTATTTTGTCTCCATAACCTTCTCTGCATTATCATGCATATTAGTTTTTGATCGACATTGTAGTTTTTTAAAAAAAGATCAAATAACTATCGAATCTTTAGAATGTGGGAGGATATTCTTTTGTCGACCTACATTACACATTTATTACCGTCCACTGGTTTTTCGCGGCGTGGTTTTGAAAATCGTGGAGTTACATAGCATATAGGAAAGCAATTTCATTAATTAAAATAAATATCTGATCTTTCTTCGTTTTGCGCTATGTAGAGATCTGTATTTTAATCAGATTGATGGGAAAGTCATTTGACGTTTATAGTCAAGGAACTTTGATAAATGCGCTTGTTTCAATTAATCGTCTATTATTTATTTCATCTAACAGTTTTATATAAACCTACCCTGCTGTGTGCTAAATAAAGACATAATGCTGATTAATGTAGTTTACATGTAGCTATGGTATAGATTAAACAGATATAGACAAGTTAGGTAGCTTTTATAATATACCAAATTAATGAATTCAATAATTGCGATCGTGTCAGATGAGAGTAAGCCCTGAAAATTAGAACCAGTGAAATTAACCCGCTATACAGTATGTCAAATAGCAATTGGAATAACTGATGAAATTAATGGAAAATTTGAATTGACAAACAAGTTGATGAAACAGGAATATCAGCAATCTCGTTTAACGTTGTTTGCATTTCGTTAGTTCTATGGACGATACAATGAACATGTCAGCAAATACAATTTATCATTGAGTAAAAAGCTTACTGACGTTTTTCATACTTATTGTTAGTCCATTATTTATACACTGAATTAACGACATATTTTTCCGTTATTTCCCGATCATGACAAGGAGCACACGGCAGGTGTGACTGGTTAGCAAGGGATGCTCACATATCCATGGTATCGATCCCACCTTTGTATTTTGGAGGTGGTGTTTGCTTTGTTCCTATTTTGTGTTATTTTTAGACATTTGATCTTGAAGGCTTTACGACATGTTTTATATTCCCCCTTACAAAAATTACCCGATATTCTAATTGTCAAGAAAAAAAGAGCTCACTTTAGAAGGAGATACTTAAGATCAAAGCATAAAACAGGAAAGCGATAAAAATTGAACTGGAATAATTATGTTTTTGTTGTCTATAATGCCTGTAGATGTTTTAAAGTTTGTTTCTTAATTATTTTTTAAGGCAGAAAACATATTTTAGTGGTTACATGTAGACTACGAGTTATTTTCTAAACGATTTCTCGGGTATTATGATGAGAGAGAGAAAACTTGGCTGAGAGATTCTCATGTTTCCATCTGAATTGCATGGAAGAAAATAATCAGGCCAGGTACCCACAAGATCCCATGATGTAATGCTATAAAATAAATCTGTTGCATTCATTTATTATTGAAAGAGTATGTTTCGTTTTTCTTTCATCCAGGGCAAAGAGACGATTAAAAGGTCACGTATCAAAGAATGTCAGGCATTATCAGAATGGCGGGTTTGGGACTTTCTATTAGAATGCACGGTACGATATAATTTTGTCCATGTTTACTCACACAAATGAACTGTTCAGGTTATAATAGATAGAACAAAATTAATATTATTGGACTTTTTCCGTTTACATAGGGTGCAAATAGAACATTTTCGATAGTAGTAGCGTTAGAAGCACAATAAGGTTTTTGATCGCTTGCTGCAGGTAATTAAATCGTAGATATATATGTGATTTATTGAAAGTTTCAATATGTCGGTAAAATTTGAGAATAATATTTGATAGATATAAATAGAAATCCTACTTTTAATACATAATTGACCTAATTGTACATAACATAGACAATGTAAATATAAAAATATTTATTTTGTAATGCAAAGGCCTATCATGTCTTATTATAATTATGACAGTTTAGTAGATACATACATGTATCATATATATGCTGAATTATTCTCTTGAAAACTACAAAGACAAAATTTGTTATCTAGTGATTTATTTATACTTTTCATAAAATATTATTCATTAAATTGAGAAATGATCATTAGTTTTATTCCATATCAGCACATTTTATCAAAGTTGCTCAATTTTGACTGACGTTTTTCTACTAGTTGATAAACAAATATTTACACACTGAATAGTCGACGCATATTTCCCGATTATGACAAAGAGCACACATCACTCCTCCATGGCATTTGATCACACATGTGATGTTTTGGAGGTCCATGTTTGCTCTGCTTCAAAATTTGTATTGTTAAATGAACTTATTGGCTTGAGCTCTATTCTTTAAGCTTTTTGCAATTCAAAAGCATGAAAAGGGAGGTGTTGCATATGAATTTCGTTGACAGGTGTATTTTTGTTGGAGGAGTTCTCTGTCATGATGGTATTGATCTTGATGATTGGCAATGTACAAGGATTTGTAGCAGACCCTAACGCACAACGTAAGTGTATTTAAGATTTGGTTTTACACTTTTCTGTTCGTGCTTATCTCTTCTGATAAATTTTACCCACATAAAATACTAATGATATAAACCAAGAGACTGATTAAGTTTTCTAAACAAAATGCTTTTTAGTGAATTTATACTTCAATACAAGTATATCAAAAATTAAAGTGTTTGTTTCAATAAACGCAGGCGTTGAAAACGTTACAGCTGTATAAAAAAGAACTTTGTATACATTTTTTTTCATAAAAACTGTTTTCATCTGACGTTCTAGTTTTGTGGTGTGTTTTTAATTCGAAGTGTATTACAGCTAAAATTAAAATGATGATTAATGATGAATAAAAATTTCACGGTGTGCCTTTGGGAAATATTGAGGAACACGATGAAAGGCTCTTGAATACCAACCCCATGCTTATGTAATAAATTATTTATATACTGTAGCTGTTGGACCTCTCTGTTATTCCTGTTTACAAGTCGCACATCAGAGAGACTGCACTCATATCGTCCAATGCGGGCCCAAAGAGGTGAGTTGTTATACACATTTATCCCCTCAAAAAAATTACTGAGTTTTTTTTTTGCAAGTCAATGAAAAAATATGAACCATATTATAAAATGGTATAGTGTTTTACGATATAATAAAAGAATTCTTTAAAATGGTACAAAAAAAAAAATATTTTTAACCAGTAAGGAAATCAAAATGAATTTTTACAAAATGTTGTCGAGGCATTTCCTTACTTTTATCATACGTTCTTTTTAATAAAAGTTTTTAAAATAACCTATTATTCAAGTTAAAGCTAAAAAGCTACGTCAAATAGTTAAGCCTTTCATGAATATTAATAAGATAAGCAGTTTTAAAATAATATACATAAAACAGCTTTAAAATACTTATTTTATATCATTTTTTCTACATTAAATGAGTTTAACGAAAAATGTTTTCATTTCTTTCTTTATTTTAGAAATGTGTTGGGAGAAAGTTTATAACTCTAGATGGTCTGGAATATTTCTCATCCGGTTGTGCAACAATAGCTGTAAGTACTTTCAGTACTTTGATGATAAAGCTACTTTTCCCATCTGCAAAAAAAGATATACGTATAACATTAAAAATCCCAATCGAGTTTTGTTGTTTAATGAAAATTTGGTCTTTGTCCAAAATGAATATTTTGGAAGAAATTAGATAACTTCCTGTTAAATTCCAATTTAAATTGCCAGCTACAATAATCCTTCAGTAGATATTTTCCACATATAATTGATGAAAAATTAAGGTAAGAAAGTCGGATATACTGGTTTATCAAATGAAAATAAAATAGTAATAAATGGTATTCAAAATTCATAAGTGGACTTATGTTTTACCTTAAGAATTATGCTTATATTTAATATAAGATATGCTTACAACACATATAGTACAATATCTTTTATGCGCCCGGATCGATAGATCCGTGGCGTATATTGTTTTTGTCCTGTCTAACTGTTTGATTGTTTGTTTTTTTGTCTCAAACTTTACCCTACGCCATAACTTTTGAACATTGAAAGATAGACACTTCATATTTGATATGCTTACCCTACTCAGCTATGTTAAGGAAGGTCAGAGTTCACATTCCTTGTACATCGTATTGGAAGTTTAATTGTGACGTCATTGAAATTTAACAAGCCACAAAAATTAATTAACGACATGATCATGCGTAAATAACAACCTGAATTTATTTATTTTATCGAATATTTATAAAATCTTGTAAAATTGCAATGCTTGATAGCAATACAGTCGAGTAATAGAAGAAAGCCTTTCGTCAAATATGACGTCATCAGCCTTGACATGACGCATTACAGGTGATCCAGAGGACTAGATTCACTGGTTTAATAATTACAAGAATGCTTAAATAATTATGATACCATTGCTAATTTTTAGACCTAATCATTAAAACTAAAAGAAAATAATATATTAAATACAATGTGTATAGAATATGAATTTATCTAGTAGCATTGAAGCTGCACAGGGATAAGGAATGTTGAGAATATCGCTGATACGATAAGCGTATTCGTGATTTACATCAAAAGTGCAAGGGCATAGACTATTTTGTTTGAGCTGAAATTTGGAATATTTATTGCTTGTATAGTGTATACATGTATTTTGAAAAGTGCTGGGAGCTGATCCTGGTCTGCATAACATTTATTTTATTTATAACAGAATTTAAGCGAAGTGTGAATTTTTAGCTATTATAAGCATTTTCAGCAACATTTTAAGTACTTCGCAAACAGCACTGACTAGCTCCCAGCACTTTTTGGGTAGAGGAAATAAACCTCTTTTAATGTGTACCAATTTTTTTCTTGAAAAACAAGCGTATGCCCTTGCTCTATCCCCATTTCCTACATTCATCTTAACAATTTTATTTTTATACAAGTCACGTGACAAACAGCTGATACGTGCGATATAACTGGTAATAACTACAGCCCAGTCCTATCCATTATTGATAGCAATATTACATTTTCTACAAGTATTCAGTTGCGTTGTTAAATTTTTTTAAAAGAAGTAGTACATATTAAAACGGTGCAAAGGTCACATTTTCCATATCGGTCCTTAACATAGCTGAGTACCTTTTAAGCTCTTTCAAATGAAACTAAGGTCAATGACCTTGTAACCTTGACTGAGGCCTATATGGAAAAAATATTTTTTCAGCAAACTTTAACCTTCGCCATAACTTTTGAACCATGAAAGATAGAGACTTCATATTTGGAATGCGTATTTTACTAAACAAGTGCTTTAAAATGACACCAAGGTCAATCACCTTGTGATCTTGACTGTGACTTATATGCTAAAAATATCTTTTTTAGAACTTAGTTGCCGCCTGGCGCATAGTGTTTCACAAACACATATTGTTTTACAATCAAAATATGATTTTTAATTTTTTATTAATAATCTGACCTACTCCTGATGCAATTAAATACTGTTCATGTACAAGGAATGTGGAGTACATCGGTCTTTTAAGCAAGACAAATCGAACACTTTGTCGAGGAGCGGTCCTGTCATAGCAGGGCATGATGTTATAAAGACCTGTGATCAGTGTTGTGATGGCAACTACTGTAATCTTCAGCTTTGCGATAATCCAATACGTAAGTCAACTTTACTTTATCAATTTAAGTCGGATATTGAAATAGTTAAATTGCAATAGCTCCATATGCACGCGGACTTTGTAAAAATCATATAAAAGATTTGCTTTCTTATTGGAAAATTATGCAAATAGACTGACATTAATGTTGTGCAAAAAGCAACGAATTGTTTAGGATGCAGATAGTTGTTGAATTTGTTCTTTGAAATAATAAGACCCTGCAAATAACTTTTAATAACATTTTTAATGATGTATTATTAAGAATCCACTTATAGATTTGAAACGGGGTCTCATCTGTGATGACGTCACTCATCCTGCCACATTCTACTTGTAGTATTAAAGCAACGGTGTCTCCGCTGTGATCACGTCATTAATCCAGAAGATTGCAATATCTCTCTACAATGCAATGAAGATCAAGTAAGTGTTTTCTATAAAACGGTTTGACAGGAAGTTTAGGAGCTGCAGGGTTCTCCACATCTGAAATGATAACCACAGAGGAAGCGTGTTATTTATGTTAGACTTCTTAATCTTCATAATCAACGATTGGTTTTAAATTACCAATTTTACCAATGCAACACAAAACGCCGAAAAAGACGTCACTTTATACAGCTAAAAAATATAATTAAATTGAATCTTCATAAATGTACCATAATTTGACCAAAACTAGTAACCGTTTGAAGGATCTAAAAGAAAAAATATTGATTCAGTAGCCATGGAAATATTCAGAAACTAACTATTATAAGAATTGTTGTAGCCTGTTTTATGAAACGTTTTGTTTAAATATGTCTGAAACTAATGAATACCAATAAATAATTTGTTGATTGCAGGTGTACAACTTGTTTTAAAAATATAAATTAGGACCTAAATTAAATATTCCTAGCAATATCTTAATGGAAAATATTCTCGAGTAAAAGTATGTGAGGCTAAAGTTTCAAGATATTGAATTTAATACATCTGCAGATTTGCAGAATTATCTGCTAGATATCCTTCCACCACAAGAAATAATCCTTCGTACATCTTGCCTCTTTGTAGCTTTTTAGGCAGCTTTTTAGTTGAATGTTAAAACTTTAACATTGTTGAAATTAAATATATATCGTATAAAAATGGAGTTTTAATAAATAGCTTTGAATTAAGAGGTTCTGCGTGAACTTTTCTAAATGCTGACGAGTGACATATCTTAATTTGGCTTCTGTAGTTTCTTTTAAATTTGACATAAACAGGAAGAATCTACATGTCAAACAATTCAAACAAATACAATTGAAAGCATTATTTCTCACCTTTTTAAATGCATATTTGGAAATGCATTGACATCACAAACTACAAAGTTTATTCATGGATGTTGCCAAAAATATAAGTATGCGCCTGGATCGAAAGATCCAATGCGTATATTGTTTTTTTCCTGTCTGTCTGTCTGTCTGTTTGTCTGTTTATCTGTTTGTCTGTTTGTCTGCAAACTTTAATCTTCGCTATAACTTTTGAACCCTGAATGGTTGAGACTTCATATTTGGTACGCATACTTCACTAAGTAAGCTCTTTCAAATGACACCAAGGTCAATGACCTTGTGACCTTGCCTGTGACCTATATGCTAAAAATAGTTTTTTCTGCAAACTTTAACCTTCGCTATAACTTTTGAACCATAAAAGATAGAGACTTTATATTTGGTATGCATACTCCACTAATTAAGTTCTTTCAAATGACACCAAGGTCAATGACCTTGTGACTTTGACTGTGTCCTATATGCTAAAAATAGCTTTTTTGAACATTCATCATAACTTTTGAACCATAAAAGATAGAGACTTCATATTTGGTATGAATACTCCACTAATAAAACTCTTTCAAATGACACCAAAGTCAATGACCTTGTGGCCTTGACTGTGTCCTATAAGCTAAAAAAAACCTTAAAAACAATCATCATAACTTTTGGACAATGAAAGATAGAGACTTCACATTTGGTATGCATACTGCACTATATAAGATCTTTCAAATGACACCAAGATCATTGAACTTGTGACCTTGACTGTGACCTATATGCTAAAAATATGTTTTTTAACTTTGTTGCCGCCGGGCGCATAGTGTTTCACAAACACATCTTGTTATATTCTACAGAAGGAACTGCTATTTTACATTTGTCCTGTCGTTTTCTTTAAAGATTTGCTATACAGAACACATTTACCTAAACCAGGAAAAAAGATTCAGAATGGGCTGTACACCAAAGTCAGTAAGTACATAAGAACCTGAGAATTACAGTATTTTATATATGCCTTTATTTGCTATTCTTATCTTTCCCCCCAATAATGAACTTGTAAAAGTGTTAATGTATGAAAAGTACACAGCGCTGAACCTTTAGTATAGTAATGTTTTATTTCAAAGCAAATCTTTTGAAAGTCTCGCGTCCCGTCAGTTCATGGGTGTGTTTTTACAGTATCTGCACTGTTTACAAATGTGTTATATATAGAACATCAGTATAACAGATCGTCGTAAGTACTGCAAGCGTTAAACATTGTATTTGGCATACTGGTCAATAATATTGTTACACTGGTATCCAATTTACCCCATTATTACATAATTATGAATGCAAAAACAATTGTAATTTAAGCTGAATTATCTAAAACTGTATTTCTGATGTTCTGATACTTTACAGAGTATTCAGTAACTGTCTATTGCCATTTTAATTTTCTTTTTCATATTCAATCTTATAAAAAAAAATGCTGTTCTACTGTTAATTACTCTTCTGTGATAATATTATTAGAACTAAATTTATTTTCAACAGTATTATACAAGTGACATGTTTCTGTACCGAAACCTTGATATTTAACATTATTTTAGATTTCTTAATCAGTGATTTTCATTTGAGTGTAATTGAATGAACTTGTGATTGTTCAAGTTTGTTACACTGTACATGTGAATACAGAGATTGTAATTAAACGTAGGATACTCTGTGTATATACGTACAGGGATATGACATTAAAAGTACCATAGATTCCTTAATATGTGTAAAAAAAATTTTTTGCTAGAGGCACCACTGGAAAAAAAATGACTAGGTTTTTCGTTTTATTTGTGCTGAAATATATGTAAAAATCTCTTGATCAACCGTCAATTCCAGACTAGCTACCCAGTTTACGTCACGGGTCATTAAGCTAATAATTATACACGAAATCTAAGGAATCTGAAGTACTGAATATTGAATTACAGAGTTGTCTTGCCACCACTTCCTCGGGATCTCAGGTGGGAGTTCTTGGAAAGCGAGACAACGAGTTATCGTTCTTACACCGCTATAGAATGGCGTCACCTGCAGACCGTAAATATTGCGCCAAATGCTGTACTGGTGAAAACTGTAATCGTGACCTCTGTACAGAAAGACACCGTAAGCTATGCAACATGTAATAATACTTTATAACCTGAGTCTAACTTAAATGGCAATTAGGTGATATAATAGATTTTTCTTTTATTATTTCAACTTTAACTCACTTGATGGTAAAGTGATTATAGACATTCTCATACTAGTATTTGCTTACCAACATTAAAGGTACTTGGACACAGATTTGAAGTAAATATTTTCTCTATAATATCACGACGAATTATATATTTCAATAGCATTTCACACAAAAATTAATTTAGAATCTTATTTTAATTAAAAGTTATTAAAAATTTTGGACAGGTTTGATTGACACATCTTTGCAATTACACCAATTGTAACTTTATTCTTAATCCTTAGGAAAAGTAGCAATCTTGTTGTTTATTAATGAGAAATATCAAAACTTTAATTCAGAAAAATAATTTTATTCAGAGTAAAAATGTTAGAAAGCAAAACTCCTTCACAAGTATCATCATTCTATTGTGTACAGAGTTTAGCAAATCGATCAAACTCGTGCTATGTACACAGTTTTTGTAAATGCTCTATTATTGTTGATGTTTACGATTCACCGGGTGCGTTCAATCGTCAAAGTCCGCTCACCACAACTGCACGGACTGAAAATATATTGTGTGTTTGTTTTGCTTTAGAACATGTCTACTCTAAATTTTATTTATTATAGTATAAATATTTTTCATTTATACACAACAAAATTGCCAACTTTTAGTGTTAAGAGTTAAACTTAAATTTATGGACGTGCAAGGATGTGTCAATCAAACCGGCCAAAAAATTAAAAGTTTTATTAACTTTTAAATATAAGATTTTTAATAAAATTTTTGTTTGAAATGCTAATAAAATATATACGTCCTAATATTATAGAGAAAATATTAATTTAAAATCTGTGTCCAAGTACCTTTAACGGTAGTTCAGTCGGTAGAACGCTCACTCTATGATGGAAAGGTGCATTTGACTTTATTTTGGGTCCTTCCTGCTTAAAATCCGAGGCACCGTTTCACAGAGCACATTAGAATGGTAAGAGTCCTCACGGTTCAATATCACTGAGTGCCGAGTAAAATTCGTAATCTGTAGCCATTCGTTGCAATACATGTATATGACGTTTCTACATGAGTGAAACACTTTCGATTGGGTCGTAAAACAGCAAACAATCAATTCTGCAATCAGAATCGTTACCCTATTTAAGTGTCAATCATGTGAGCAATTAACATCATGATAGGTCGTTTTTACAGCTGTGGTTTACAGAAAAAAAGTTAAACTTTGAGTGTTTTCTTAAAGATGAATAATTCATAACTTAACTTTATATCTGTGGAGTAAAACTCTGCAATTTACCTTATTATGTATAAATTTAGCCGCATATTATTTTAATCTTTATGAAATTTTATATTAAACATGCTCAACGTATAATTTACTAGTATATGAAAGTATAATATAACGTTGAACTAAAGTAAGTATTTCATATAAATTGCGCGCAAGGTCTTCTAACGGTCAAATACAAAAATATACCACCCCTCTCAGTTGCACTGAATTCGTACATGTAGTAATGATTGTTATATGTTACATTCTTTTTGAATGAGCAATATCTGCATCAAAAACTGCAGTATATGATCTGATTATCGCATTTAATTTAGTCAGGGAAAGTTTTATACTCTTAAAAAAGATCACAATTGCAATACACGTATTTCAAAAATGTATATAGCTTACCCAACATGTCAATTTGATGTTGTGCTTTATGTTTCCATTGTCTCAAACCCCTATTCAATACGATTCTGTATACAAAAATGTTTAAAAATAACCGTGAAAAACAACTGAAAGAGGTAGAGCCACTTTGGGCCTTATTTGGCCCTGAGAATTTCTGAAAAATCAAAACTGCTCAGTTTAGGTTGCAAATGCAGTATTTATCACTTGGACTGTTGGTGACCACGTATCTATTAATTGTGACGTAATTTCACATCTAGTCAATGCATTATGACGTCATAAAATGCGTCATTTTCCTCATATTCTGTAAATTCCTTTTAAAATGACCTAAAGTTGAAGCACTTTTTCAATATTTCATATAGAGCACAACCTCTGATCCAAAATATGCCAATACATAATGAAAGGCCTATTTCTGAAGATCAAAAAACATGTTTTATTTTTTGGATCGTGGGCTGTGCTCATATTTTAATTCTTTGCTGAAGGTAGTCAAATAAGCATATTTTCTGCAAATTTCAAGAACATTGCAATTTCTCAAAGCCTGTTTTCAAATATTTAAATTCTCAAAACGAAATTTCATTATAGAGCATGAAAGCACCAAGTGTCTAATTTATTTTGATATATGAAAATGGAAAGAGGGTGATAGTTAATTAATTGATATAAGTACAGGGCCATTTTATGCATAAGATGGCTCTTGCTCTTTTAGCTATTTTACCTGCATTTTCCACTTCTTTAATCTGCATTTAAGGGCACCGACTATAGTTTCCATTGCGCAATATTTCGCGCATCATAGTAAAATGAGGCGTATGTACTATTTGATGCAACTTTTTTCGCATGATTATTAAAATTACACAAAATGAAGAAATTATAGATATAAAATGTAATTACAATTTGATACAACTGATTTTTTAACCGATTTTGCAATTGATAGGTATGTTGAGGTCATTGCAGTGTGTTTTTGATGTTATGATAATCTGTAGCTCTTAAAGAAAGGGAAAATAAAAAATATTATTAAAGAAAAAGTAATAAACATACGCTCTTGAAATTTAAAACATAGAAATTTGAGAATATTTGCCAATATTTTTATCACGTTTTCATGTGAATCCATTGTGTACGTCATATTTTGTAATACTGTATAAAAATAGTAAAATTTGCTAATTTTTTGCATTTTGAGATGCCCCCTCTGGTAACAAGGCGGTAGAATTTTGTGTTTCTTACATATATTGTATAATATAGTATTACTCATCAAATATTATAGTTTGAACAAAAATGTCTATTGTAGTATTTGTATAATTTGCTTTAAAGTACTAAAAATTGGCATTTTCCTATATAATCCTAGAGTAAATGTACCTGTATTTTGAGACGGTCCCTCATAAATACCTAGACGGTAGATTTCCCCCAAACTTTGCATGTACACTGAAGTTTATGTAAGTTTTATATGGCATAAAAATGAAGAGTTTCGCTATTGTAGTTTTCACACAATAAAACTATAGTCGGCCCCCTTAAAATATTATTTTGCATATAGGAAAGATGTAATGCCTATTTTTTTATTCGTATGGTAGTGGAATTAAGGAATCATGGAATGTATCATTTTTAGCCATATCCCCCCCACCCCCCCCCCCCCAAAAAAAAAAAACAATTGATAAACTTATTTAACTATTTGATTATAATTTTTTTTCAAATGAATCAATTTTTAAAAAAGAAAATGGAGCATGATATATGCATGTACACGTTTGCCTCTTAAAGAGTTTTTTTTTTATTATTTATGTTTAAGATTTTGTTTCCACTCTTTTCGAGTTGTCTTAGAGAAAATGGACTCTACTTCTCCTTGACCTATATTTAAAATAAATGTAAATGCACTTTTGATGATTATCAAATGTAGGAATCCTTCCATTTCTTTCTTTCTTTTTAATTTAATACTGTACACATGTTTATCATGTTTATCCTCCATGCAAAATAAGGTTTAGACAATTTTTACATTTTAACAAGCAATTTATTTCATGTAAAATCTTTCAAGTATTTTTGAGCTGCATCTTTTATAACGTCTCTAAAATGTGCTTTAATCTCTACAGTTGTTAACCAGTATCAATTGTTGGTTCCGCCACCATTGGTCATTTGTCAAGACTATGACGATACGTCCTGCAGGAGTGGTTTGGTGGATCCTACTTTCTGCCAGGATCTAGTAAACAGGAGGTTGTTTTGTCCAAGGACGTGTCATACATGTGGTACGTATAGGCATTTTATCGATAGGGTGAAGTGCTTTACAAGGAACTGTCAATTCATTTCATGAACTGTACTAATCAGATCAGAGAAATGTTTGAATTTATTTTATATTTTCACCAGTGTAAACTTGTTTTTTCCATTTATCTGTTAAGTTTTTGTCATTTTCAGATTATTCTGAAGTAAATCATACTCTCTTTATTGAGTTTTATGGGTGTCACTTTATATATAAAACTACGAATATTTACTATTTTCATATATTTCAAAAATTACATTTCCTTATTCTCCAGATATGGAGATAACTAACAGTATTCAATATCAAAGTCCTTAAAACATTACAAAAAACATGAGCAGAGCAAAGGACTTTGATATTGAATACTGTTAGTTATCTCCATATCCCTCATTCGTAAATTTATGGTCGATATAATGACCTTGTCAGCAAATACAATTTATCATTGAGTCAAATGCTGAGTGACTTTTTCATATTAAACTAGTTGTTAGTCCATTATTTATAAAGTGAATTGAAGACATATATCTTTTATTTCCCGATTATGACTAGAAGCACACGGCGGATGCTCACTCCTTAATGGCACCTGATCCCATTTCTGATGTTTCTGAGGTCCGTGTTTGTTCTGATCCTATTTTGTATTGTTTTATGGTCTTCGATATTGCATACTGTTCATTATTTCGGTATCCTTCATTGTATAAATTCTTTTTAGGTGAGAGCGGAATGCTTCAGCCTGTTACAACAGCAATTAGCACTACAGGTATTGGTTTGTTGATTTCTTCTTAACAAAAGCTTACAATTACAATTGCAAGTATTTCTTCATTTGAAATAAAAGTAGGCTTTAATTTGACTTTATCCCCTGGTTTCCTAAAAACCGCAGTCACGTGTAAGGGTTGGCAAGATAAATATCCCCTGTTTGGGTTGGAAAGTTTAATTTCCCGTGCCACTTTCTATGTGTTGCATGATGAAAATTTATCATTTGTTCATATCACTCCCTGTCCCAAAAGGGGATATAGTCTCATCATTCTGCAAAGACATTTTTGAATTTATTTGGAAGGCAAATTGTGATAAAATTAAACATGCAGTTTTAACTCAGGATAATTAGTATGGGGACTAACAAGAATCACATGGGCCACATCACTCACCTGAGTAACTTTGACCATACTGCTCTTTACCAATTCCCCCTTGTAATACATATTGTGACCCAACCCTACCACATGGGTCATAATTTGGATAATTTAAATTCTAGTACACTACAAACGGATGCTTCCATTCAAGTTTCAGCTTTTCTGGTCCAGTGGTTCTTAAGAAGATTTTTTAAAAAGTTTTTTTCCATAATTTTTCTATGTAAAACTTCAATTCCCTATTGTGGCCCCATATTCAGAAATCTCGGAAGATGATCTGAATGGTTAAGATGGGGATCATCTATTATTCCACACGAGTCAATAAAATCTTCCTTGTTCTTTTGGATAATAGCGTGATCTTTCATGGATGTCTAGTTCTATTGGTGCCTTAGATGTGTTATCAGGACCATGCCACTTATGCTGACTCGTTACATATATTAAATCTCGTTCGACCATGAAAGATTCAATAATAATACCTCTTTTATTATCATGGTAATGCTTTAGACTCCATGTACAAAAAACGACAAAAATGCTTATTTTTTCTGCTATTTCGAGGTGCTTTACAACAAAAAGATTGTATTTTACTAGTATATATGCTTAATTTTATATGCATGATATATTTTTTAAAAAATCAAGAAACATTTATTCACATCAAATAATATTTCAACATATGGTGATGATTTATTGCCCGATTTTAGAGGGAAATATCGTCTACCCCACTTATTTCATGAGCTGGAATTTGGGATATAATGCAATTTAGCACTGATATGAAAATAATTAATCAATTACCATTGAACTGTTCTTTATATTAAGCAATGACTTTATCTCCAAATTGTCATCAATATTGAATTAAATGGTTATAAAATGTGGGCGGAATTTAGAGTTAGCGTGCGTAGTTCTTACTTCTTTTCACGAAAAACGAAAACTTGTTTAAAAATCTCTACAGAAATAATTTTATTTAAGTTTACTTCTATTTTAGCTGGAGGTGGAATTTCTTATCTTGTAGCAGGAACAACTACCACAGCAGGTATTGCTTTTGTCTAAATATACGCTACACAGTTAAGGATACACTATGGAGGCGTGGCAAAATTTATGCGGAAAATGTTTTCTATGACGTCACATAATTTATTAGTTCTTCAAATTACTACAAAATTAAATCATTTCTTCTTAACACTGTTAAATAGTTCTGCACTGCATCAAACCTTACTTTTAAATGCATGTCGTTACTAAAACCCAAACAGCAATATATAAACAAATTACTGATCGCAATGCAGTTTTGAATTCTTCATCATAAAGAAAACGTTAATGCAGTTTGTAGGCAATAAAAGCCGAATAAGTTACATTTTATACAATGAAAGATGCATTATGTCGTTAAATCAAATGACTGCCGTCACGAGAAAAGGGCCCTTAAGGTCAAATTTTTACAAATTGACTTTTTGGTAAATTTTGATAGCCGGACTCTTTCTGAATGCAAATATACATAAATTTTGAAAATATCTCATTTTTAAGGTATTTTATGAGCATTTTAGTGAGGAACTCCAAAAACAACTTTGACGTTACTCACTGAAAACGTAATGACGTCGACTGCGTTTAATTCAATTTTCAAAAAACCTTAAAATAAAATTACATGTTATTTAAATACATATAACCTCAATCGTTTTGAGAATTAAAAACTGGAGAAAGTACTTTTTTCTTCAAATCGACTAGTATGTAACTATTCCTAAGGTATTTCGTACGTTATTACTATTTTCATGCTATTTTAGAGCAGATCTAGTAATTTCTTAAATGGGGTGTGGGTCTAGACAGAATCTAGGAACGGTGTATAACATAATCAGTAGGGAAATAATATTTGTCTAAAATCCATACAAATTGTTCTTTTGTATAAAATAATCTAATTCAATTTATAAAATATACAAAGCACTTGTAACACTTAAAGATTAAAAGAAATACCCGGTATATTGATAAAGAGAAAACCATGCAGAAGGACACCGCGCGCAAAACGGAGCACCCCTCGCAAAAAGCACATCGATCACGATATTTAAAAAAAAAAAAAACTTATGAGACAGCATTCCCTCACCAAAACACACGCACATAACCTTATTCCCTATAACTGTTACGATAAAAAAAAAACAAAACAAAAAAACATGTATTTCCTGTATCACCGAAAACTTCAATTGAGAAATAAATTCAGATACGCCAAGATAATATGTAAACTTGTGTTTAAAAACATCAATTTAAAAAAAATACACATGTATACGTTCCCTTCTTCCGTGCAAGCGGATTTAAGTTTTTTTTTTTTTTTTTTTTTTGTTACGTTTTTGAATATTTAATTTCAATTGTTTAAAGCTCTAAGTTTCTATTGTTTATCATGTTTATACAATTCATTTTCTTCGCCTGTCTTAGTTATGGAGTAGAAACAAAGTAAATAGGCAAATAAAGGATTGTCTTATGATCATTTATATACCGTGCCTTAAAATAAAACTTTCTTTGAATTTATACCTCAAATTGAAACCGCATTTAACTTCTTACTTTATTAAAAAGTAAATCACAATTAAAATCGGTTACAGATATTTCTCCACATTAACCTTTTTCTATTTTGTGGCACCTGTACCCTGTTTCACTTGAACACAACATTTCTATATTTCTTACAAGGACCGCTACTATGATCTAAAAAAATGATTTATGTTTAATACTGTATAATTTTATCAAAGAGATGGCGAATTGTGCTGTTCTTGTCTCTTTTCATTATATGTACACTAAGAGGTGCTTGACTTTTCTGTGCGAAATTACAGGTCCATTAAAATTTTGACGAAATCTATTTGAAACTGAATGAATACTAGTATATGGATGTGTCCTCTACAAAAATTTGAATTTATCAATTAAAATTTGTATATGACAAATTTTGTCATACAAATACATATACAAATTTTTGTAGAGGACAGAAGCCATTTCAGTTGGGGGGATATTTTTTTCAGTTGTGGGCACTTTCAACAACCAAATTTTCCTTGACAAGCAAACCAAAATTTTTTACGGTAACGAACGATCATCTATTCATTTTCCTCCGTGACAATGGCTAGTTAACTTATCCTCTAAGCTTTTCACATTTCGATGCAATTGTCTTATCCAATAATGAACTATTACGTCCAACATACGTTATTTGCTTTTATGTATGAGGCGGTTCTGTTAATAAAGTAAATAATTTTCTGCTCTAATTTTACTCTCTTTCGCTGAAAATATTTAGGCAAACCCTAGTTATTACTTCAGAACATGCCAAACATATCAAATTTAAAAAAGAAAAAACCCTTGACTCGTATCTTTCCCTGTCCCCACACAACTCGTTTGAAAAAAAGGGAGGTTCAGCCACAAAAAAAAAAAAAATTACCTAATAAAAAAAACTACCCAACCAAAAAAGGGGGTTGTCGAAACTCGAATTTCGCCGTTGGGGAGGGGAGGTTAGGTTCAGTCTTCTTTCAGTACCAAATTTTCTTAATCAAACATAATACTCTGCCTTATTCTTTTGCCCTATAGCGCACGAATTTGACTATGCTGCAACGTGTGTATGTGTGTGTTGAGGTTGGAGGATGCGTGCGACTGTATGACCAATATTTTCTTTAAAAGCAGAAAAATTTGAGTTTGTCTATTTAGAATTCCTTTCTTAGATGTTAGGATTATGACATAAAGTCTTATCTCGATTTCAACGTTGAGATATGCGTGGTATTTTGATACATGTATCAGAGTTGAAGATTTCAAACAAAACGTGATTTATTTATTTCATATCATGAAATCAATAGACAGAGAGATATATTTCACGCTCATTAAAGTTTTAAAGATTTTAAACATTTTCATAACTTTGGGAAGTTACACCCAAAACCATTTGTCACATACATTTCTGCCATACAATTCGAATGTATTTACTTGATCATTTTAAATAAGTTTTTGAAACAAAATTTATTTTAGTAAAATTTTCGTGGCATCCCAATCCTCCATATTTTTCCCCTTAGCATATTCTATTACTGTTAATTTAGTAAAAAAAAATATTTATTGTTGATGTAGAAGGTTTGGATCTCCCATGTTATCAGTATCTTTATTAAATCAAAGAGGGATTATGTTTCTTAGCTGTAACTTTAACCAATCTTTTTATTCGGAATTTCTTTTTTGGATTGTCTTCTTACCTCCCCCCCTTTTTTTAAACACAGTTTAAAATCGACAGTTCACCGAAGGCTGGCTATCGGGATACATCAGCATGATTAACTATGGATTAAAATTAAAATGGCTAAATACGTTTTAAATTATGGTATATATTTTTCAAAAAAAGGTAGCGCTTATAAGAATGGTATGTAAATAGATCTCTCGCTCTTTCTTTCTCTCTCTCTCTGATAAAAATATACATGTATATGGAATATACCTTTTAACATTGAGACTTCTTAACATGAATCAATTTAAGCATGTATTTGTAAATTGTTCAGAAAACAAATATGTAGCAACTTTAATTTAGTAAGGCATAGACATGTTTTAATCGCTGTTCCAAAGCTAGCCGCAATGTGCATGTCCAATGTCCCATATATCGACATCAAGTTAAATACTTAATTAAACAAAATTATTAATAAATTTACATACTAAATAGTAATAATATCATATACCTATTAAAAATGTCCGCATCAAGCTGCAAATTTTTGTTATTACACTTTGAATTTCAATTTTATTTCTTGTTTACAAAACAAAATGCAGACAAAAATTACTTCCGTGTTTACAATACCGCGACTTTGACGTCGTTTTATGAGCATTGTGACGTCAAAAGATAAGGGCCCTTTTCTCATGACGGCAGTCAAATATTATTAACAGATATATAAACGGTTATTATTCTTGGATCATGATGGATGCATAGATTTGTTCGTATACAGATTCATTGGAAAGTTAAAAAAACGTCTCCACCCAAAAAATGATATATTACAAGATAATTGAAAAGTGCTGAACATGATGAAATCTTGCAAATGAATATTAATCATTTATATCATAAAGAAAACGTTAATGCAGTTTGTAGGCAATAAAAGCTGAAAAAGTTACATTTTATACAACGAAAGATGCATTATGTCGTGAAATCAAATATTGTTAACAGATATATAAACGGTTATTATTCTTGGATGATGGATGCATAGATTTGTATACAGATTCATTGGAAAGTTAAAAAAACGTCTACCCCCCCCCCCCCAAAAAAAATGATACATTACAAGATATTTGAAAAGTGCTGAACATCTTGCAAATGAATATTAATCTTTTATATATTCGAGGTTAATAATATATTAATATATATCATTGTCTATGATATTTTAATTGCCATTGTGGCAGGGTGTGTAGATAAAAACCACAATCATTGCCAGCAATATAAGGACTTTTTCTGTGATCCTTCAAACCCTGGTGGAATAGATGTGTGTCCAATGACCTGTAAAACACCTGGATGTTCATCATCAGGTCAGCAGATTTAAAAACATAACGATGCCTGTTTTAAGCAAATTATAGAATATATATTTTTTAAAACGTCTTCTTAAAGGGATAATGAAAGAAGAAAAACTTTTAATAAGATATTTATATACACTATATATTTACTTCTACTTCAGCAGGAGATGGAATCTCTCTCCACGTAACAACACCGACTACATCAACAGGTATTGCTTCACTGAAATACAGGCCAATATCTCCTTCATAAAACAGCAATTAAAATAACATGTTTGTTTTTCAACAAGCATATTTGATCTGCTCTATTATGAGTGAAAAAATTGAGACTTGGACGTTAACAACACACTATCAATCTTTCATTCAAACAGGTGCCAATATGTGTTGGTTTCTACCAGAACCACTACATCAAGTAGATGTCCTAGTTATAACGTATTAATTTTTTTCAAAGGAAGCTCAATGCATATAGGTGCATGCACTTAAAATTATGATACCTACGATGAAATATTCATTTGAGATTAAGCAAAACTGATAAAAATATCCATTGGTTAAGATGGTATGTTTGTATGCCTTTGTAGTAGCGTGTTTGGAGAAAAATCCAGGCCGGTGTCAGCAATATAAGGCCTTTTTCTGTGATCCATCAAATCATGGTGGAATGGACGCCTGTCCAGTGACCTGTAAAGCACCTGGTTGCTAATCAGGTAATCAGATTGCCAAAAGACAAAGGAAAAAAAGGGAAGATTAACCCTTTTGTTGCGAAATAAATGATAACTTTTTGCATGCTATATTAAATGTCATAATAAAACAAATCTAGTAGATCATATTACGGGTTCAAAACAGGAAGATTCAAATTCACACGTTTTCTTTAGTCAGAAGAGTATGTAACAGTCATGAGCAGTGTATTTTTTATATATAATTACATGACCATGACATGACACATGGATATAATTTATACAGACATATGGGTAATTATTATGATTATGTCTACAATATATAGATAAATGATGCTTTTAGTTTTTTTTTAAAATAGCAGATTTTGAAAACCTTTTCATCACATCATGATATTCTTTTTTTACAGGATAGTTGAATTGATATTACTTGTCACTATAAGTGAAAATAAAACATATTTGTAAAGAATTAACAATATTTTGTTTTTTATCAATATTTTTGCCCTCTGTTTTAAATAATGCTGAAGGTTCGTCCGCACAAAACATAATAAAAGTTAAATATGCAATATGAAGAATGGCCCCCTTGGAGAAAACAAAACAAATGAGATATTGCAAAATTTAATTACATTGTAAATTGCTTATATGAGTTAATAAAAACGTGACGTCTATCCCCCTTTTTGAATTTTACAATACTTTTGAGTATGATTATAAATCATTATGTGCTACCTCAATCTTTACAGAAACATCATCCATGCAATAAACATTGTGGCTGGGTTTTTTTTACCCCTTTATTGATGACAGGCAGCAGCAATTTTGTATCTTTTTTAATCCTATGATGTACTAAAGGGTCAGCTTGAAGTACATGAATATTGTACCTTGTGAAAGATTACAGGGTTTGAATTCGTATCTTAGTCTGTTAATGTCCCCCTTTTTTCTATGTACATCATGTTACAATGTCATTATTGTGCAGAAGGTCAGATTGTGCTATATTTTGACTAAGATGTGTAATACTTTATATATGAGTTTCCTTTTTCTGAGACCCATTTTGAAAATGTTTTACTTCTTTCGTCTATTACTTTGATAAATGATATACTAGTATTTCACTTCTAAACGCTGTTATTTGTTTTTGTCATCTTTTAACAAAAAAAAAAAAAACAACAAGCTAAGTCGTTTGGCAGTAGATCTAAAGAGCATAAAGAACATCACTGAAGGATAGAGGGCATTAAACTGATATCAGATATATTTATCGACCTTTTAAAAAATCATGTATATTTCGGATTAATAAAATTATTAATTTATACTTTCTTAATGTTTTTCAATATTGTGAGACATTACCTGAAACATGAAGAATCTACTTCCAAAATAAGAAAATTCTGATTGCATACACATTCATTTATCCCTTTATCAAAAGCCTGTTAATTATATAAATTAATAAAACAGGAACAGCGTAGTATGCTTAAAATATGCTACACAGGGAAAAGTGGCTCGCATGATTTTCATGCGATTGCCTTTTCGCATGAATTTCGTGCGAAAATCATATAAAAACCATGCGAAAAGTTCCACATGCGAATTTCATGCGAATGTCCTCATACAATATTTATGCGAAATTCATGCGATTTTCATGTGACTGAAATTTCGCATGATATTTATGCGAATTCCAATTAATCCGTTTTTCGTGTAAAAATCGTGCGAAATTCGTATAAATATTTTGCGATATTTATTTATCAAGAAAAAAAGCAAGGATCAAGGAAATTGAACATTCAATATTTATTTAGGTTTTCCTGCCACATTGAGTGGTAAAATTGCCAGTCTCTGATATCATATTGCTTGGATGTTCCTGGGTAATCCATTGACTTTAATGATTGCTGTGTTTACAGGCAGTTTTTCAGTACGTCTTTCTTTCAGTCTTGTGTCCTGACAAGTGTTTCCTACAAAGATTATTTATTTATTAATTAATTAATTATTATATTAATTATTATAAAATACTATTACCCATACTAATATTCCAATTGTTTAGGTCAAAGGGACCAATTCCTAGATTAGGATGACATTAAATACAATAAATTCAATGATATCACTTGAAAAGTCCATGTTTTGGCAACTTGAATTACTGAGTATGTTAAATGGTACTATATGTTTAGAGCGAAACAGAAGACCATGTGTTTAGCACATTCATAACTGCATATTAGACTTTAAAGGGATGTGTCAGACACCATACAGTGTGTTATTGACCTAGCGACTCTATATATCGGGCTGCTATTGAACCATAAATGAGATAAAAAGTTTCATTTTAATTGTGATATTCCAATTGGATGACAATAAACATGTAATTGGTGACTTTTTAATATATTACAGACAACAGTAAAATACTGAAAAGATTGATTTTTTAAAATCTGCATAGAATAATTAGAATACCTCAACTGTGAATAAATCAAATGCAATATATAGTTACACTTTTTTTGCATGGACCTCAAATTAATCCCCTAGAAGATTGAACCTTTTGTTTGACCTATGTCTAAATTATTTTACGGGATACACTTAATTGGTCTATAAAAGTTGTGTTTACATGTCTCTACACATGTGTCAGAACAAAACACACTGTCGGTGTGTTGTGTTCTGACACATATGTAGAAACTTGTAATGACAATTAGTTTAAATAAAAATAACCTTAAATTACTTACTCAAAATTTCAAATAGATGTCACTAAGCATAAAAAGGACCACTCGATTCACCTGACTGCGTTACGTACAGACGTAGAACCTGAAATGAGAACGCAATCCGAATTTACTCTGAAAGATTTCGTTGCAAGTTGAATTATCAATAAAAATGTGCATTATAACCACAAAATATGACAAAAAATTAACAAAGCATACATATTTACCATTGTTTCAAAGAAGTATATCACAATCAGCCAAAAGGAAAGTCTAGAACAAACAATAGAAAGGAGCTCTTGCTGACTCGGATTTTTTTTCTGTAACAGGAAGTGCAAGTAGAACCTGGCTAATCGGTTTCGTATTCATCCAAGATTCGGGAAATACCTTAATCTTTGTAATATTAGTCGTTCAAATTTTTATCTTAAAAATGCATCTCCGCTTCATATACGAACGCAGATGACTAAGTGATATAAATTTACTTTATGGAACCAAAGCTAGCTTTTTTATGGAATGCCGTACGTCACAAATTACATCATCATGCGACTTGGAAAGCAGAAAGAAAGAGCAGAATGTTTTCAACTCCATATTTTCTGTAAGTTTGTAAGATTCTCATCTTCTTTTTATATGAGATGGATGTAATAACTTTATTTGGGAATATTTGTTGACAGCTTAATAACAGATATGAGATTCAAGTGGATCTAACATTATCTATGGTAACGCATAACGTTATGTGTTGAAAATGAAAGATGGGCCTAGTACAGGTTCTCTGCTTTTCTTACAATATTATTGAAAAGGCCTATTGATAGGCCTAATGTTTTAGTGTGTTTTTAATTCCTGTTGCACCGGGATCGATCTAGTATATAAAATTAAACTGCAGCAATCAAATAACACACGTAGCATTTGGGGGGGGGGGGGGGGGGGGTGTAGATAGAATGTTGATGTTCTATCGTTTAAATGATAAAAATTAATGTCCTACGTACCCGGTGAGGGCTTGAGATTATTTTAACTACGGTGGTAAATTGCAACCCTCCCTTTTGGATTTGCAAAAAAAAAAAAGAAAAAAAAGAAGGAATAAGAAGAAAGTTCCAAATTTTTGTTTGTTTGTGTTTTTACCATAGAAAATGTTCAGTGAAAAGCTAATGTAGTAGGATAGGATTCTCAGGTTCTGAGATCAATATTTTCCTTTCTTTTTCAAAAACTTTTCAGGTAATCCATACAAATATTTTTTCCTAGTTTTATCAACCTCCTCCTTTAAAAACCATACCCCACCCG